TATATATATATATATATATATATATATATATATATATATATATATATATATATATATATATATATATATATATATATATAACTTTCCTGAGTCATATCGACCATATTTATTACCACCACACAAAGACAACAAGAGTGATGCAACTATACTGCTCATAATTAAATATTTTTGGTTATGTGTATATCTTTTTTCCGCGTGCTATTTATATCTTAAAAACTAAAATGTGTTGTTAAAAAAACTTGTAATGTTTCCAACGAAATTTACTGCGTTCCTTAGCGAGATAGGCTTTAGACCTACTTTTGCAGCCCATTTCTGCACCGCTGAAAATATAATAAAAAGAACTTGTACAAAAAGAATTTGTATAAAAAAAACTATAATATCTCCTCCGTGTATTAAAGTTAAAAATCTCACAGATCAAACATAAGTGTTTGTATATTTGAAACTCGTGTCAGTCAAAGAAGGTTAAGATCGGGGATTGCGGATTGGAGATGCGAACTCAATTTCTCGGAACGAAGCGAGTAAGGTTGAGGTAAATTGAAAAACATGGAAAGCTCCGAATGATAAACAAAGAGTAAGTGTGCAATATCGATATAACAATTGTGATCAGCATCCAGCGGGATATTGGTCATGATAATTGAAATCTAATATTCTCTGATGCGAGCTTCTTTTTTAACAGTAGAGCAGAACGACGCGACGGTAGAAAGTGACGGGATGTTGCTTGAAATTCAGTTAACTTTCGCCTATCACGATACTCGAATTAGGAAGTTCGATGTCACGCGTGACCGATTTACAGGACGATTAACGGACGAGTCGTCCTCGACTACACGCTCGACGGAGTCTGTTTTGTTATGTCACTCGTGAGCCCGACTGCACGCAGCAAGTTGTGTTCTGAACGCATTGTGAACGCTAAATGTATGCCTTCTCGCAACTGGAATCACGTAACACATGGCATTTATAATCTAGTTATTTAGGAAAATTCTATTAGAGCTGATTGTTTCAACCTTTTGGTAAGCTATCTAACAGTTAAATCATGTATCTGTCCACTTTGAAGAAAAAACGAAAACAAACATATGATTTAACTGTCAGATAGTTTACCAAGAGATTGAAACAATCGGCTCTTAGAAAAACGAAATCTCTGGAAAAGATTAGACTCAACGCCAAACGTGCATCCAGAGTACGTTTCAAGAAGGCGTATTTGTATTCTGACCAGAAATTCATTCCATGATTCTGATTATGATTACAACAAAGTACAGATGTAAGACTCTAAGATTATAACAATAATTTGACATAAAAAAATATCGATATTTAGGCACAAATTTAACAGTTATATTAATAACGGAATTTTTTAATTTGAACGTTTCAGCCCCATTCCAAGTCCTCTTCAACAATTATCAGTATCAAACTCTATAAACTCTATAAACTCTTTCGAAATTGAAATATTAATATAATATTTTAACTTCGAATATATATATATATATATACATAAACAATAAACATAAAAATCCTATACCGTTTTGTAATATTCGCAATAATAGTGAAGACATTAATTAAAAAATATTAGTGAATAATTACGTGCGACGGTAGATATATTGTAGTGGCAATGTGTGCTATTGTGTAAATTAGGTGTAAATTAGGTGTAAATTAGGTCAAACTGAACAAAGAAACTCTTTATCATTTTGCAAATAATCACGTAGATTTTTAGATATTAATTAAAGAAGATTTGTGCACATTATCACGCACAATCATGTAACAACTTTCTTTTATTAGAAAGTGTATATTACAGTTACATTTCATGTACGCTGTTCATATTTTAGTTTGTTATTTTTTTAGCTGAAATACTGTAAAAAAATGTAAAAAAATGCTATTTCTCGCTTCTAGCGAAAAAGCGTGTTTCGTCCTTACATAACATAACATATTGTAAAACGTTGGATATTCCAATAAATGATACATCGATTTGAAGGTTAAGACGAGTATGATTAAAAATATAAAATCTCAATATTATTATTGTTTTCTGATGATATGCAAAGTTCACACCTAGTATAGCTCGCGGAATCCCGACTGGAATGATCGGCAAATGATTCGACTGAATTGATCGCCGGACGTGCAACTGACAATCGCGTTGGCGATAATATCTAAACTGTGGACACACACAAAAGAAAGGCTACACTCGTTTGCAGAACGGCTTTGAGACTTTGTTTACAAGCTACTTCGGAACACAGCCGACGCGTCCCAGGCAGAATTTGTTTCTGCTCAATTCTGACGGAGCAACTTCTTTAATTGGTTGTGAAATACCAGGAAGATATTCAGAAAAAATGAATGGCATTTACGTCATTTTGCAGACATGAGTGTGTTTTGAAACTAGAAATTTATGTCCGCTCTTGATTAGGTTGATCTCAATCAATTATCTTGTTTACATAAAGTGACGTCACTTGATAAGTCATGTGACGCGGAGCGTGGCGATCAGGACTTCACAGTACGGAGAGAATATTGTAGTTTTCTCTTCACGTAAATTCCTTTCTCACTTTATTATATTTCTAGTAACGCAGAGGAATTGATTGTAACGTCTATCATAGTAAGGAACGTGGAAAATTTCGCATGGTCGCGGTGTCACGTTAGATGCGTGTCATGTCGAAAGTGGATTATGGGCGAAACGCGAGGTGTAATCAAAGCGAGCTTAATTGACGACCGATTCCGACGCCGACGATCTCAGAACGCGCGGTATCCTAAGGTGTGGTCTTTTCAGTTGCACTGATGCAATAAGTTAGAGTAAGACCAGGGTTGGGTAAGTTAAACTTTTTTTTAACTAAGTTAAAGTTAATAGCTTTGAAAATTTAACTTAGTTAAGATAAAGTTAACCCATAATGAAATTAATTGAATTAAAAGTTAAGTTAATAAAAAAAGTAATTAAAAAGTTAAAAGTTAAATTTGTTTCATTTCATGACTTTAGTTTTACAAATAACGGAAGAAACAAATATACGCCTTATTTGGAAACATGTTTTATTTACAGATACTTATTAAATTTAAATAATGAAGTTTTTTCGAAATTTTTATCGGGACATTTTTCCTCGAAGATTGTCGAAAATGAGCCCTGCTGCACTGAACAGCCTTTCGACGTTTCGCGACACCTTTATGGCTAATTTCAAGATAATTGAATTAAATGTTAATAGTTATCGACAAAATGTAACTAAGTTAAGTTAAAAGTTAAAATTGCAAAAATGTAACTAAGTTAAAGCTATTTAACTTTTTAACTTAACTTTTAACTTTTTAACTAGTTACTTCCCAACTTTGAGTAAGACTAATATATTTTATCTCACTTTAACTTAATGCGTCCGTGCAGCAGTGCAGCCGAAAAGAAGAGACCACTTGGCTTTCCCTCGCGCGCTTCCACATCCGCGACTTTTCACGGAGGGATGTAATCGTGTGACCCGCGGGCGCGACTTCACGATGACGCGCGATCAGATCACGCAGTTGCGCAATTATTGATTTGTCGTAACTTCCATTTCCCTTCCTTCCTTCCTTTCTTTTCGCTGGCCGATGCACTCAGCTTCGCTTGAAATCGCGGCGAGACGACGGACAGAGATGCGCCAATCAGCGAGGAAAGTAAATTAACGGATTATAACGTCGAGCGGACCCATAAGCGATGTTAATCGTGACTTGCGCAGGATATAACTGTCGCGCTGGTGATTAATTGATCGATCACATACAATGCGCTATTTTAAGAATCTTGCGCGATAAGGATCTACTTGCGCCGAACATAACTGTCGCGCTGTTAATTAATTCATCGCACACAACGCTGTGTCTCGATCGAAAGGATCGACTTACCAAAGTTACGTAACACAACAATTAGATCTGTATCACTATACAACTACACTGAAAAAAAATATAATATAATATAAATATAATACAAATATAAAAAAATTACAAAAATTTATTTAAACCGAGTAAACAATACTTGGATGAAGAGGATTTTGATTTAAATAAATATTAAAAATATTTGTTAATTTTTAGATATTTTTTTAGATATATATTAATATGAGTCTGAGTCTCTCTCTCTCTCTGCCCCTCTCTCTCTTCCTTTCCCTTCTTTTCTCTTATTTAAAACAAATTTCAAGTAATAACTATCAATGTAGACTATTAATAAAATATTTAATATTTAATATTTAATAAACGCGGCTATTAGTAAAAAAATAGATTAACAATTAGAAAAATAGATTAAAATAAATTAAATAGAGTTGAGCGAATTGCGAAGTTCATGGAATGTTTGTCGCGCTATTAACTAATTAATCATACACAAGGCTGTGTCTCGCACAAAGGATCTACTTACCAGAGTCGCATAACGCGACCTCCGTTTAGAGTCGGAGCGATTTATCGGGGAATCGTGAGTCGACGCGACAAAGCCTTGCCGCTTCCTAAGCCTCTCCTCCGGGTCTGGGCTGGCGATTCGCCTCGGTCGGCTGCAATCTTTCCCGTTGTGAGCGCAAGAAATCGACAGACCAGCTCGCTCATTCGAGCACGCGCTGCCACGCCGCGATTATCAGCCACGTGCGCGCAATTTGCCGGGAAGTTTCGTCGATGCTCATCGACGAGAGAAAGAAAGAGAGAGAGAGAGAGAGAAAAAAAACGATTTTCCCGAAAAGTAGCGCGGCTGCCGAAAACCCGGAGCTCAGTCGTGGAGTCGTCGCCACGCGCGGATCGCGTGTGCACAGTGACTCGCGTCTTCACGAGTCTCGTCGACGCGTAAAGAAAACCTGGTGGCACTTCTCACTCGAGAGGACTGCTCGAAAGGAAACAAAAAAAAAAGAAGAAGAAAAAGAAGAAGAATACCCACGATGCCGCGGGCGACGATTATTTTCGTCCCGCTGTCGCGCGTGCTCTCGAAACGCGTCGATTCGAAACTCTCGTCGCGCCGCGCGCGCTTTTAGTCACGCAGTCGCACTTCCAGACACAGTAGGTCTCGCGCCCGGTCCTTCGTCTTCGAATCGGGAAACTATGTGAGACAATGTCGAGGGAGCGACAGAGGAAAAGACGCGTCCGCCGACGAGACGCGCGCGCAAATGCAAACTGAACGTCGCCGCGACGTGCCGGCTCTCCCGCGGCACCTGCCTCCCCCGTCCGTAGCGTCCGCGGGATCAACACGTTGGGTTTCTATCAGTGTAGATGGCGCGTCCAACGGAAAAGTTTTAGGGCTATCGCACATGAAATAATATAGGCTGCGTTCCGAAATTCACTGTCAGTGCTGAAATTCTATAGTATACGTAACATGAATTATAGATTTTCAGTATTGACAGTGAATTTCGGAACGCAGCTATAACTGGGCTGCGTTCGGAAACGCAACGTTCGGAAACCCAAGTGTCCCCGTTGTGTTGGAGTGAGCGAGATACGAGATTGAGATAAAAAGAGAGGGAAAGTACTCAAGTGACGTTTCCGAACGCAGCCCTGCACAGCACAAGATCGTATGAACCAATGAGAATCGAATATTAAGCATCGATATGACGACTTAATACTCGATGCTCATTGGTCCATACGATTTTACGCTATGTATATGCAGCTATGTCATTCCAGAATCTTTATATTACGCCTCGTTGAACAAGAACAGGTTGGGTCATGAATAAACCGGAGAAATTGCTGAAATTGATCTTATTTACAGACACATATGATGTCTCTCGTAAGACGCAAGAAACGCCGTATCTAATATAGAAGGCGTACAGTCGTCTACAGACAGATGCTTACGCGAAGAATTCGATCAGCGTGTCCGCTAATGAGTCTATATATATTCAATTGAAGGGCGAGTCGATCTACCCATTTATTGATACGCCGGCCGATGTCATACGTCGGAGACGCCACGTACAGATAGAGACGGAAACGATCATTTCGATCGATATCGCGTGCGAGCGTTCGGACTGTTGTCGTTCGTCGTTGCCGCTCGTCGTTTCACAACAATTTCGCCCCAATATCTCCAGTCTAAGACGCGATTAGCTTCAATATGCTAATATACGTGAGTGCAGACGACAATAGCAACAATCATTCCTCCTTCTGTGTAATCTCGTAACAATCGACTGATCATGTGTCAATCTTACATGTTCAAAATTGATATATACACCCCTCCCACGCTTATTGTTAGTTTTTTTTTAAATAGTTATATATATAAATAGTTTTTTTAAATAAGTTTGTTAGTTTTTTTAAATAAGAGCAAATAAAATTCTGTCTAGGCTTTGATGAAGTTTTTATATTTTGTATTCTATATATAACTTGCGTTATCAAAATCAAAAAATCTTTATAATTATGAAAAGGTTAACTTCTCGACCCTTTTTCGATGTTTTAGACATTTTTTATTTAATATAACTATCTATTTTGTAAGTTTGGAATACTCTTTTTAATATCCTATATATTTAATTTAAATTGAAGAGAATACGAAAAAAAATTTCACAAAATGTGAAATCGCCGCTGTTTGATTTGCGTTTGCCAGATTAATTAATTTGCGATGGAATTTCGTTTAGTTTTTTGAAACCAATTATGACGCACGCGCCGAATGTTCCTCTGGTTTTTTGTCAACGTACGCGATGAATCTACCTACGTCTTATTCAAACTTATTCTTTTTAATTCTCGAGTAAGAAAATTTTGGTAAAAATGTTACCTTTACTCATTCCCAACTATTGTTCTATTTAATTGACTCCACATTCTATGTTGCGAAAAATATAAATAGTTTAACTCTCAGAATTTAATTTGAATAACTTGGACGCAGATATGGGCGTAAAATAGGATTTAATTATGGTAATTGTGACGTGCGAGTCGATGTGAATGAAATATAAAGAAGATATAAAAAATCTTTCATTACAGAATCATTGTCTGCGGTTGTGCAACCGTTAATAGTGCACCGCATCGAGTGTTGCGGTGATAAAGGCGTACAAGATATTCACCACGCGATTAGAGTTCCATTACTGCAATTTAGGAAATATTACTTTAAAGAAACACTCAGTAACTTCTTCGGATAATTTAAAAGAAAAAAACGAACAATTATTTTTGCCCAATATTCCTCGTCACTTGCGTTCGTAAACACGCCGCATGTGGCAGCACCGATCAAAGAAGGCTGCGACACCTGCTCCGGTATATTTCCTCGCACGCATCGCAAGTAACTAAATTTAATTAATTAAATCGAATAATTATATCAAATGGAAATGTTACCGAGTTCGTCGGTGTATTTCTCTTCTTTTCCCTTTTAGAGTGCAAAATTTTTTGAGGGTTTAATAATTGCTTATGGAAAGATTGGAAATAATTAATTGACGAAATTGACGGAAATAATTAATTAATGAACGATCGGATATAAATTTGAAGTCGCACAACAGAGACGAATATATCTACATTGGGATTACAGTTAAAATTGAAAATAAGATCGTAAATTTCTTGACGTTTCACTAGAATAGTAAGTAAAATCTAATTCCAATTCTAATCGATTAAGGCCTTATGCCACTGTAATTTTTTAAAAATATCAATTTTTTTTTATTGGCTTAATTGATGGATAAGCTATTCAAAAATGTAATAAAAATTGTTTTATACCATAGAAAAAATTTTATCAGTTCATTTAAACCATTTTATTGAACATAGTCACGACGTATGAAATTACGTATTTCGCGCGTTTTGCTTTTTTCACTGTCTCGATAAAAATGATACCCATATTTACGACGTGTGTTTGAAATATGATGATAGAGGGCGCTCGTAATTATTTTGCTCAAAAATTTTGCTACAGTTCGGGTGAAATTGCGCGATAAACAGTTTAAAGCATAGAAATCAGATTAAACGCGATTATCTAAAAACTATGTTTTTCAAATTGGCTTGCAAGATAACTCTCTCAATTTTTATCCGATTGAGTTCAAATTTTAACTGTAGCTTCTTAATTAGATTTCGCAGAGAATATCGTACGGATTTTGCCAAATATTAAAAATTATAAAAGTTATTAACAAAAAACTCATTTTTTTGCGAAAAAAATCGACTTTTTTTCAAAAGCTTGCCATTTTTTCAAAAATCAATATTTTCAAAATTCCGTACGACATTCTCTAGACATTTTCATGTAGTTTAAGAAGAATTTTTTTTTTTTTTGCAGGATCAAAATTCTTCAAGATATTTTGCAAGTCCCGGAGCAACTTTTTAAAAACATGTTTTTTTGACAACGGCCGTATGCCGCCATTTTGTATTTTTTTTTTATTAAAAAATAAAAATTTGTACCTTAATACATATATAAACATGTGGTAAACTTTGTTTTATTAATAATACATTTTTTTCTATCCAAAAAAAATACCAAAGAAGTAGTCGGTTTTCGGGTCTCTACAGTGACATAAGACCTTAAACTTAATTTGAAAACAAATCGCGTGCGTCACAAGAAACTTGCCGTCACGAGGACTTTAATCGCGCATATAATCTTCATTTTTTAAAGACACGACTTCGAAACAATGTCTTTATTCGCACAGTTCCTCAATTCAATTTCCATTCTTCCAAATGAAAAAAAAATCACACAGATGTGATGAATTACACAGTGAAGATTGTGAAAATAGAAATTTCTGAAGGTAATTGACAATCCATAGTTCTACAGAATATCCAGAGCAACCTTTGAAACTCTCATGCAGGTATAGTACGGATTAAGGTGAACATAAAAGTCCTGTAACGTTTTGTTGCGCTTGGACATTAAAGGAATGCCGGACATGAAAACTTTACCGATATAACATTGATTTTTTTATGCAAAGTTTACGTCTTGTTGCTTGCACAGAATTACAAACGCTTTTACACAACAAAAGTGCATGCAAAAATAAATCGGAGCATTGCTCAATATGTGACGAAAACGAAAAAAATATGTTTAAATTTAAATTTTGAGCTGTCAGTTAGTGCAATATTTGTTTAATACAAACATTCTGCAAGTTATACATATCGAAACTGTGAATGCTCCAATTAGGAAAATTTCAAAGATCACTACTACACGTTCAGAATTTAGTTTCGATGTCAAAAAAATACGAAAAGTTTGCAGAAAAGTTTACCCATACAGCACAAAACGTTGAAAAAACGTAGATGAGACGTTGCAACGTTGAAGATAGAAGTGCGGATGTTTTTTCTACACAGAATATATGTTGAATTTTCTATATTGATTACAAGATATGCTGCAATGTTGAATATATATTGAAAAGTACAATTTTTTGCAACAATATTTGAGGAGCATTGAAAATTATATTATTGATAATATTAAGGAAAAATTTGTTATTATATAATAATATTAATAAAATAAATTATTATTAAATTTTATTATATTAATATATATGTATTATACATATTATATTATAATATATCATAATCATATATATTTTTCTTATTATTTATATGTAAAATTGAAATGTGTTTAAGCAATTTTGTGCAAACCCTGAATATTCTTTTATTTCATAATATTCTCTATTATATAGAGTCTGACGCAAGCTGTATCGATAACATAAAAAATTGCAAATAACTTTGCAACTCATTTTGCAAATAACTTTAGAAATATTAAATAAAATAGGTAGGCGAATCAACGTGTGTATTTGCTAGGTATGTACGTTATAATATACTGTGAACATTGTAAGTAAATATTTTATAAGCATAAATTGTAAGAACATCGTTAGAGTCATTGGAATCACCGCGTGCCGTTCGATCGTCAGGTTAAGGCTGCGTTTCGAAATGCACTGCTAATATTGAAAATCTATAGTTCATGTTACGTATATTATAGGATTTCAGTACTGACAGTGAATTTCGGAACGCAGCCTAAGTAACGCAGTCAAGATGGATGGGTGGTCGGCATACCGCTTCGAATTTGAAATTATCGAGGGGAGGATTCGCGAAAGTTTTAAAATGTGTTGTTTGACAATTTTCGGTTTCTAGCAGTTATAAGACATGAGAAAATTAGGAATTAGTTTTTTTTATGAAACAATAAGAATAAATAAGATGTTGAAATGTCAAGGAAAAATCAACAATTGCGGACATTTTTACATTATATCAAGGTTTGTGCAACGTTGATTTAATGTTTCTTAATGTTGCTGCAATATTGAAATTGTTGCAATTCAACATTCTTTCCACATTGATTCAACATTATTGTGCTCTATGGATTATGATTACATGCGGTTAGGTTTTCCGACAACTATGATAAAGTAGAGCGAAAAATTAGTTCACGGATATTTTTCAAGATGGCATCGTACTTTTATCGCATTTTTCACAACTTCCGAATATTCAAGTGTGTATATATATATATATATATATATATATATATATATATATCATTGTTATTCCGTTATTATGTATTCGAGGATATTATCATACGATTGTCGAACAGATATTATTATTACTAACATTTAATATTTGAGTATTATTATTTCTTTATTCGGTTATTATTTAATTTGGTTATTATTTAATTATTGCTATTACGCATGGGAAAGGAATTCGGGCGTGTCTTTACGACGATTTCTTTACGATTTTTTCGTTTTTGTTTAGTTATTATGTCGTTGCAATAAAAAGTTGCGTGGGCTCTGAGGAAACTATATATATATATATATATATATATATATATATATATATATATATA